AGGCCGGACATCAGCAGTCAAGGTGTTGGAAGAATTGGTCCTTATTTTTTTTTCCCCCTTCAAGCTCAATTAGCCAATATCAAGTACACACTTAGCTTCAGAGGTAGCGTGCAGTGATGTATCGGCCGCATGTCACAACCAGTGCTCATCACATCACGCCCCCTCACCCGGTTTCCACTGCGGGGGGCATCCGTGGTGTTTCTTGGCCTGACCCTGCATCGCTCTGCAATCTGCCCCCAGTGTCACGGGGCCTATGTGTCCTTGTCCTTGTGTGTCCTCTTCCCCACTTGCAAGGACGCCAGGCCTGGGGTGTAGAGCTCACCCTCATGCAGTGTGACTCCCTTCTTGACTTCTTTACTTCTGCATAGACCCTATTTCCGGAGCGTCCAGGTTGGTGAACCCATGGAGATGTGGGGAGAGTGGCGTGCCCCGAGAGAAAGAGGGAGGACGCGGGAGCTTCGTGCCCCTTCCCACATACCTTGCCCTACGCATCTCTTCCATGCAGCCATTCCGGAGTTATAGTCTTTTCTCATAACCGGCGACCGGAGTGGCCGCACCATTTTACGTTCCCACCAACAAGCTAGGAGAGGCCCGGTTGCTCCGCATCCTTGTCAGCACTTGGTATTATCAATATCTTTTTTTTTTTTTAATTTTGGCTGTTGGAGAGGCAGGCGGGAGTGTTGTGAGAATTTGAAACCACATGGGGAGTGTTGCTGGGGACACGCAAAGGAACACCTGCGAGGTAGAGACCAGATGCACACAGACCCCTGGTGCTACATGCCCAGCAGCGGCTGCTGGACCCAGTTATGGATTCAGGGACACTCAGCAGGGGCCAGAGAGAGCCCGATCCTGGGGGAAGTAAACATGCCCACAGAAGATACACACTGTGCCCCCCCTTTTGCACACAGCCCCCGATACTCCCCCGGCAATCTCGCCGATGCTGTTTAATCCCAGTGGCAATAATAAAAGACTATTTTATTGGGAAGTGGGGGCGGAAGGGCCTATTTCCAAGCTCATATTCACGGATGCTAGGGATTAGGACTTGAACATATTTGGAGGGGGCGCACAATTCAACCCCCCTACATGTGGTTTGCGTCATAGTGTAGTAAAACATGGGGGTTTGAGGTCGCAGCGAACCGGGTCCAGGTACCGGCCCAGCCATTCACCAGCTTGGAAGGCAGCTCTGCTCACTCACTACTGTACCACCGACGCCACTGGTCACCCAGACAAGGAGAGCTTGAACAAACCTCATAGCCTGACTGAGCCACAGCACCCTCATCTAGAATGTGCTAGGACATTTACCGCCACGTGAGGCTGCTGGGAGGATCCTGTATGGCATGCTTAGCAATGCCTGGGGTATAGGATCCATCTGTGAATGACAGTGGTTCTTACTATTTTAACCGTAGCAGGTCACAGTCTGAGCAGCAAGATCCCCCTCCCCCCACCCCACCCAGGGGATCCCAACCAAGAGGCAGAGCACAGAGACAGGGGATCTGGTGGAGACCTTACCTGAGAATGCAAGTAGGCAGGTGCCAGGAGGGTCACCAGACCCAGGTAGCAACCCCCCTGAGGCTCAGGGGGCTGAGCTTTTCCCCCCTGGAGGACCCCTGGCGGAGGAGAAGGCTGATCAGCGATGAGTTACAAGAAGTGGGACCATGGTTGTTAAGTCTGTTCTTGGAATCTGGAGGGGGTTTCCCCGGTTTCACTTTCTGGGACAAGGCTAGTGTCCAGCCAGCAGCCGAGGTGGCGGGATGCTCTGGGCCAGAAGAGGGAGCTGCAGGTGGTTTAGCCAATCCTGCCTTCAGCTCTGCTTGCTGGAGATGTGGGGGAGCAAAGGGCGCCAAGTGGCCCCATGGAGCAGAGTGGGAGAGGCTGGAGCCAGGTGGGTCCTGACAGACTCTTGGGAGGTGGAAAGCGGCTTATGGGGTTCAAGTAATGTCCTGGAAGGGTTGTCTTGCCCAGTTGAGAGGTTTAGACAAAAGTAGGGAAAGGTCCTGAGGCAGACAGGGCCAACAAATCACCGGTGAGATCAATGAATGTGTTGGACGAGTCAGAGGTTTGGTTTGTTCAAGGCTGTGAGCACCGTGAACATGAGAGCAAAGGCCTTGGACCTTCACGGAGCCTCAGTTTCCCTCCATAAGAATGGAGGGTTGGAATAGACGTTCCTGAAGGTCTCTGGTCCAGCTCTGACAGCCTATGATTTTATGAATCACCCTCAAAGAAATCTTGCACAAGTGGGAAGAGCCTGCCAACGTTGGGCCTTTCATTCCGAGTAATGAACTGACACAGCAGAGGCTTCACATCTGTTCCACTCTTGCAAGGGAAGCCGGACGAAATAATGCCTTTTTCAGAGAAATCGTAACCAACGGTGAAATGTAGTGTTTCTTGCCTAAACCAAAATCAAAGTGGAGAACGCCAGGCTTCCTGAAGCCCGAGGGAGAACACGCATCAAAACTCCCCGTGAAGGAGAGCAGGCTGACCAGCTGACTGGCTGCTGTAGGCACAGAATGTGTGTAGACACCCACCTCCCGACTTCTGAGAGCCCGAGAGCAGCGGGAAGCTGGCGGGCGGATCCTAGGAAGGTTCCAGGATGGCGCTGGGGAAGAAGCAGGTGCCCACAGCCCTAGAGTTGGCCTCCTTGCCAGTCCCGGACCCCTTCTCGTGGAACCTGCATGGCGGCAGACACCCTGATCCTCGGTCACTAGTACTTTCGTCCAACTTGCCATCAAAGCCAGAGGAAGACTGGCACCGTTGACTTTGAGATCCTTCCCGAGAACCCAGGCCAAGCCCCAGAAGCTGTTCCCAGAGACCAGCTCCAAATGTTCAGCGATGATGACTTTAGAGTCAGAGCACAGCCTCCCAAACAATGTGCTTTGAAGGGCCAGGGCCAGGGGAGGCTGAGTTCTAGAATCTAAAGCCCACTACACCCCGCCTTGTGCCAACATTATAGAGGATCCTAAACTCGGGAATAAAAGGAACCTTCCAGGATATCACATCCTTGTCCCCACCCTACTGAGTCCTGTCAACATCCCCCCTTGGTTGCTCACTCGACCGGAAGCTCCGTAAGAGCAGGAGCTGGGTCTCTCACTCTGTACCTTCCCTGATCGTTCTCTTCCTTGTATACACCCTGAGGGCTCCGGGGGGCCGGGGGGCGGCAGCTGTGCACTTCTTCTTCGTCTGCCTTCAAAGCAAGGCAAGTTCCAACTCACACATTCCAAAATTTACCAAAGGACGATCCCACTCTGACACATCCTTTATAACAGGCTCCTCTTCCCTGGTGTCCCAGGTTCTAAGGGTCACTGGACCCTTGGGCTCTGCATGTCAGTCGTCAGATGTGGGGGCTGCCCTTATAAGGAAAAACACGGAGGTTGCAGTGTCGTGGTTTCGTGTCTGCCAGCAAGGCCGCCCTCCACTCCCGCTGCCCCCAGCCTGGGGAAGCTGCAGAGTCTACCCAGGTCAGGCTTCCCTTCCTGGAAGACTGACTTCAGTTTGGCGGCTGGTTCCTATGCTAGGATTGGTGAAATGAGAGATGGTGTTAACAGCTACCATTTAGTAAACAGTTTGATGGATGTCTGTGTCCCCCACTAGGCTGTGAGCCCCAAGGCAGGAACCACGTCCTTTTGGCTCAGCTCTGAATCTCTCGTGCTTAGCGGAGCTCATAAAATGAATGAATGAGTGAGTGAATGAATGAATGAATGAAGCAAATTGGACCAAGCCATTGGGTGGCTGCCTGGAGGCCTTAGAAAGGGGTGTCGGAAGCAGCTGCCCACCCTTGGCCAAAGGGTCTTTCGTGCTGTTCTTTAGGACCTGACCTCTCCGTCCTGCCCTCTCCTAAGACAGGGAAGTGATAACCTGGTTCACGCTGTGATAGGTCACTATCCACAGGAGCCCTCCCAGGGGGAACACCGTCAACAATACTACAGGGCTGAGATGGGCTTGGGAACGGACAAGCAAAGCAAGGCCCCAGCTACGGCCCAGCTGCGCTGGGGTCACAGGTAAATAGGCAGATAAGACAGAGAGTCCCATGGCCACGCATCCTGCATTGGAACTGAGCGGGTTAGGACCTTACCGTGGGGGTGAGCAAGCTTCATGGGTGTTTGGCATTGGAGGCGGCATATGCGCGGAAATAGGGGTGGTGGTTAGAGACTGCAGGGAGAGGGTGTTCTCTGCAGGGCACGGTGTGTGCAAAGCATGGAGGCGGGAAAGGGCATGTGGGGAACAGGAAGCAGTTAAATGGGGCCTTTGTAGGAGGAGAGCCGCGGGGAGGAGGCTGGGAAGATGGAATGAGGGATTATAGGAAATCCCTTTAATCAGAAAATCTCAGACCAAAGAGATGGACCTTTAATTATTACCCTCCTTAACATTGTGATGAGCTCAAGTTGGCCAGTGGGAACACTCCAAACCGCCTTTGCCCTCTTCCCTCCCCTCACCCGACCAACCGAAGGGGGCTCTGGGCTCCCCTCTCCCTCTAACGAGGGTATTATATGGGCCCAATTGGATTTTGATGCTTTGAGGGTGCATAAAATATCCAGAAGAGAGAAAAGCAGTCGAGAAGCGGACAGGACAGGAAAGCAGATTCAAGGAAGGTTTGTTCCGGACTCCGCGTCCTCTTCGCGATGTCTGAAAAGTCGCCAGTAAAGAGCAGGAGCTGTTTCTAAGTGTGTGTAGGTTTGCTGAACTGTGTGTATTTGACAAAGCGCCATTTGGGGAGCGAACCATATGGGTGCAGGTTTCATGGGGTTCCCTCCGCTGCACGTTGATACCGCGAGCTCCTGGGGAACAGGGGTTCGGTCTAAGTCACCACTGCCTTCTCGGCACGCCGGGCCCGGCCTGGCACAGGAGGGGGTCTGTCAACACTGAAGAACGGTCGAGTGACCCCAAGGTTCTGGAGACAGACTCCCCTTGACCCCCTGCCCTCCCCTCCTCCAGGAAGAGGTGTCTGTCCCCTGCTCGTCTGAGGCTTTACTCACGTCTGGGTGTGTGTCTCCCTCTCGTTGCAGAAGGCAGATCTGGCCGTGGCCCCCCTGACCATCACCCACGTCCGCGAGAAGGCCATCGACTTCTCCAAGCCCTTCATGACGCTCGGTGTGAGCATCCTGTATCGAAAGCCCAACGGCACCAACCCCAGTGTCTTCTCCTTCCTCAACCCCCTGTCCCCAGACATCTGGATGTATGTGCTGCTCGCCTACCTGGGGGTCAGCTGTGTCCTCTTTGTCATTGCCAGGTAAGGGCGATGTCGGCCCAGGGCTCTGGCCCAAGGTTGGGGTTTCAGGGAAGTCATGCTGGTCACCACATCCGGAGCCTTAGCACAGAAGGCCCAGGTTCGGGCCACTGCTGTTCCTACCCCTCTCTACCCTCCTGAGGCTCAGACCCCCAGAACATTCTGTTGCCCCTCCTCCCCGCCCCACCCCACCCCAAGCTTGCATCCCCAGGCCTTACCCCGGTCTGCATCCAGGAGGCAGCAGGAGTGTCCCAGGCCCCTCGAGCAGGCTTGGAGAGGTTAGGTCACTGCCCAGAGCTTCACCACCTGGGCCAGGCGCCCAGGACGACAGACTTCCGTGCATCGGACAGTCCGGTGACAGGATGGAAACTTGGAAAACAGACCGTGTCCACAGAGTGGGAGGAACAGTGCCATATAAACACACGCATCCCTGTCCATAACACATGCTGGCAGCCGCCTCGCACACTCGGTCGTCCGCACGAACTAGACGTAGCACGAGCCTGCTGGTGCCCGGTCGGAGGTGGTCACCAGGGTCAGGTGTAGCTCCATGTTTACTGGGCGCCTGCTGCTTGCCAAGCGCCGAGCTCTGTGCCTCACAGCCCTGTTCATGACCTAATTCTCTCAGCGCCATCCACCCCCTGCCCCGTCACCGCCACGAATGGGAGACACCTAAGCCTCGCAAAGGCCCCGTGCCCCGCAAGGCCACCCAAGCAGTAAGGGACGCAACTGGCATTGGAGCTCTGACCACCCGGTGTTGTGTGTGTCAGGCACATCCCCGGCCCCCTGGACGTGTGTCCTGTGCCCCTGCCCCAGTCGGTGGCTCCTGGACCCCTGGCCCTCTGCCTCCTGCTTCCAGGCTCCAGCCCCAGCCCCCGCCCTCCTTCTTTGTCCTCTACATCCTAACAAGGTGTGAAGAGAGACTTCTTTGGAGAGGCAATTGGAGATTCAAGGACTTGTGTTTGGGCCTTTTTTTTTTTTCCCTCCTGAGTCTTCTTTGAAAGGCTCCCTCCCACCAAGCCCCCTTGGCTCCCTCCTCCCGCACAGAGAGAGACCAAAGGGAAGGATGTGAGGGATGAAATCGTCCTCTCCGGACGCCGGTGGCTGCCAGCTGGCCGGTGCCGCCCGCCACCCAGCCCCCCCGGGAGAGGCCATCATCACGCCTCTTTCTCTAATGGCCTAACGAGCCTTTGAAAGCAGGCGCCCCTCTCCAGAGCTCTCACCGTCATTTGAGCAGCTCCAGCCGGCTCTCGGCTCCCACCCCCTGGAAAGCAGCTCTGGCTTCTCCAGCAGGACTCCTGCCCACCGATGCAAGGCCAGTCCCCCCACTCTGTCCCCCCCATCCCAGCCTTTCAGCCTGCTTTTCACCTCCTGCCTCCTGGCAGAGAAGGTAGGGGCCCCCCTCCTGAGGTTAGGCTGGAGAGGCTTTCTGGAAGAGCTGGGACTTCTGCAGCTGCTAGAATGACACAGGACAGCCAAGGGGACAGGAGAGGGACAAGGGACCTGGCCACAGGGCCCTGAACAGAGGACAGCTATAACGTTGCACCACACTCACCTCACTCGCACCCATCCCGTCCGATCCTTACAGAGGTCCGAGGAGGTGGGGATACTTCTGCCCACTGTGCAGAAGCAGCAAGTGAAGCTCAGGAAGGCCGAGCCAGGGCCCAAGGTCAGACAGTTTTTGCTTCCAGGGCTGGACCCCAGAGCCAGACCCGCCCATCTTTAAATCGGGGTGGCAAACACTGGTGTCCCCGGGGCCGGACAGGAAGCGTGAGAGAATGAAGCAGGAGGAGGACGCACGCCTGGCCGGCGGGGCAGCCACTCCTCGGCCCCGACACACTGTGCTAAGCAGGGACGCAGGCCCCGTGCTGCAACATTCATGCTGTTTAGACAGTCAAATTTTTTGTGTGTCACCTCGTGGCTTGTGCAGGTCGTCGCTAACTCGATGTCTTCCAACACCGAGTCAAGCATGGCGCATCTACAGGATGGATGTGGCCTCTGTCCCCCCTCCACGTGCCCGGTGTCCTTTGGACCACTCCACGCTGGCTGCTGGAGAGCCGGATGCAGCTTCCCCAGACATGGGGTCTTGGAAACATGGGCAGTTCCCCGGGCCGCTCCAGGGCAGCTGTGGTGTGTTACGGGGCTGCCCGGCTTGCCAGCTGGCCTGGCCTGTGTCTGTCTAGCACCAGGAGTCCCCATGTTGACCAATGCTCTTCTCTGCCACCGGTTTATTCTGCTTTACGCTCGGAGAAGGAGAAGGAGAAAGGAAGGGAGACAGAGAGTGGGATGGCTGGCCCTCGTGGCAAGGACGTGGTCCTAAATGCAGGATCCCCAGGGCAGGGCTGAGGGTCAGCGGCCAGCCAGTCCAGCTCCCGGGACTCACATTCTGATCAAATCCGGTGCAGATGAGCAGCCCGGGGAAGAGATGGCCCCGGTTGGCCGGTGCTCTGTCTACACCTCCATCACCGGGGCTGGACTTCAGCTTCTCCCACGAGTGGAGACCTAGAGGTATCACCAGGTCAGCCTCTCCTAGCTCCTACCTGTGTGCATGACTGGACGGTCCTTCGCAGCTGCGAGCCCTTAATCCAAGATCCTTTGTGAACTTTGGGGGGCACCTTCCTTACTATCCAGGATCCAATCCGCTTCTGTCCTCTCCTGTGGCCTTAGGGGTTAGAATCTGGGCCCTCCAGCCCCCTGACTGCTCCAAACCACCTCCCCGTCTGCAAAATGGGCACCTGTCATTTTGTCAACCTCCAAGTCCTGTTGGACCAAGAGGCCCGTTCTAGAGCCAAGTGGTTGTATCATGATGAGCGGCTCCACCGCTGGGAATTTATCCTATTGAAAGTCACCATTGATGGTCCCCTCCCCCCACCCCCCGCAAATCTAGAAAGCCTCTCCTTGGAGGACAGGGCCTGCCCATGGGCGTGGTGCCTATGGAGGTGTCCTCAGGGGCGTCTCTTCCGGCAGAGTGTGCGGCAGTGGGAGACGGGGACAGGCCCAGCACCGCCAGCGGAGGAGGGATCGAAGACCCCTAGGAGGTAGTTTCAGAGAGGAAAAGGCACATCTGGAAAAACGGGTCTAGAAGGAGGCTGGTGACTAAGTGAGGAGCCCAAGTTGCAGGCAGCACTACGGTATCATCCTTCCTTGTGTCTGAAAACAACCCTCGGTATCACATACGTGTGTGCACGTAAGACCCACAACCCTTGTGCGGCCTCATCAGAAATCATCTCTACGTTGTCTCCCCACCCCAACCCGGCCTTCTGGGGGGCTCCGACCTGGGGCTCTCGTTGCCCCCGGCAGAGCCCTGCAGGCACCTGTCACTTCTTGGCTCGCTTCCAGGTCACAGAAAGATACCCTCGGTGTCTCTCTAACCACAAACACTGTCACAAATCAGGAATTAGAAGGTTGGGTCCAGTCGAGTCCTCGACATTTCTACCTTTGCCCGCAAATCAGACCTCTGGCCTCGCCTGGCACGTGGGCCCCCTCCCGCAGAGCCTCCCTGGCCGGCCTGCTCCTCTGCCAGCAGCCCCTGCCCCACGGCCTCTCCCTTCTGGGGTCCTGGGGCCCTTCTCGGACGGGGCTCAAGGTGGTGCGGGGCTGGATCTGTCTCCTTGGGCCCACCTGGTTCAGGGACGCGCTGCTGGCCCAGTGTCCGTGTATCTGGCTGCGTCTGGGCGTGCAGGCCAATGCCATGCGACAGGGACTCGCGCTCCTGCAAGCACCCGGGAGCCACCCAGCAGCCCGACCCCGGCCCTCCAGACCCCCAGGCAGGCTCTACTCATTGCAGGGCCACCCACCGGGCTCATGGCAACCCCACTCCCTGGACTTCACAGAGGGGACGTGGGGACCCCTGAATGTACCGCCCTCCCGAGGCTTTTCTCCAGAACCTTCCCACGGCAGCCTCTGCCTCGCCTCTCCTAAAGAGCCTTTATCTCTTTGTGGATTTTTAGAGCCTCGAGCCTATTCGTGGCCATTCCCTTTGAATATCCCCATCTTGGTTTAAAGCCTCCCTTTAAGATTTCACATGGGTAGGGTCTCCCCACGTGGTGAAAACAGAATTCTTCTCACGCGAGCTTTGGTGATCAATGTATAATTTATTAAAGCTTTTAAAAGGGGGATAGAAAAGTCTCAACATCACGCCTAAAGCATATCGTGCATTAGAAAACAAAACAAAATTCCACTGGAGGCGCCTCTCCTGCTGGGCCTGTCATCTCAGCGTCCGACCCCACACCAGCCACGCCAGCCTCCGGGGGGGAGGCTCTCTCCAGGGTCTCCCCAGGGTCTCCCAGTCTCCCCAGGGCCCTCTCGCTTCCCCCTGCTTACGTGTCCTCACCTGGAATCCATGCAGCAAAGATCCCTCCAGTTATCAGGACTTCTCTTCCTTACCAGGCAGTGGGGTGGGGAGGGGCGCAGCTCTAAGTAACATTTTTTCCCGTCACTCAGATATTTGTATATTCGGAGAGAAAAATCTGAACAATTATATAACACGTTGTTCTCTCCCCGGGGGTGGGATCCTGGAGGACCTCCTTCACTTTTTCATCGTAGTCTTCTCTACTGCTTGAATATTTTATGAAGAGTATGCTTTGCTTTTTTTTTTTCCCATCTTAAGTATACAAGTAATAGAAAAAAACCATTCTCATTTCTAAAAATTCGTATAATCTGTCTAAAGCAACAGGCTTCTCTGAAATTCTGGCCGCCCTTTGAACCCCCCTTCCCCGGAGGTAATAAACGCTGGTATTTTTTTAGATGTGGATCTTTCCAGACCCTTCCAACGCGTTTGTATACACACGTACGTAAGGCGCCAGAGTGCTGTATCTTTGCGGATCTATTTATATAAATGTGATCATATTGTTCTTATTTTATCACTCTTTTTTTTTTTTTTTGCCAAACAGTATGGGTGGAAGATCTTTCCCCGTCAATACCTCCAGACGTCTCTCGTTCTGTTCTATCAGCCGTGTGACATTGCGGAGGGTGCCTCTGACATCGTTTACTTAATCATTCTTCTGTTGAAGGACATTTAGGCTGTTTCCAGTTTTTCGCTATTACAAACAATGCTTTGATAAACACCCTCGCGCGCTTCTCTTTATATAAGCTCATGTCGGGGCGTTTTTTTTTTTCTAGGCCAGATAATGAGTCGCGGAATTGCTAGGTTGAAGGGCATGTGTGCTTTTAATTTTCAGAGATACTGCTGAATTACTTTTACAACCGGAAAAGGGCACTAACAATAAAGAACAAGACGCAAAATGGCCCTGATTTCCCATTCCCTGCCTCCCCAGCAGAGCACCAAGTAAATTGATGCTAAAGTGGCAGCACATCAATGTTTGCTAAACAGGCAGCTCCCGTGGCCTGGACGCCCCCTCCCCCGTGGGGTCCCCGCAGCTCTGCCCCACTGCCCCCCTCTCCCTTCCAGGTTCAGCCCTTACGAGTGGTATGACGCTCATCCCTGCAATCCTGGCTCCGAGGTCGTAGAAAACAACTTCACTCTGCTGAACAGCTTCTGGTTCGGAATGGGGTCCTTGATGCAGCAAGGTATGTGCCCTCTCTCCCCAGAGGTTCCCTCCTCCCGGGGGTTGGTGGGCAGGTGGGGGGCGCGGGGTGCCCCTGAGTCAACAGAGCCTGCCCACCCTCCAGGGCAGCTTCAGACCTGCTGAGCTGTCAGCCCTGGTCTGTACCCTGGTCCCAGGTCCCCGTCCACCCTCGCTACCGTGGCCGGACGGGGCTCGGGGTGTGAGGCTAAAGCAGATAAGCCACCCTATACCCGTGATGTGCAGGGCTCATCCCTAACCGCTGTGGAGCAGGAGCGTCCTGCTTGCTGGGGTCAACCAGCTGATGGCCCTGTCACCTTACACTCTGGCTGAGTCAAGTGGAGCTGAGGATGGAGGAGACCGGGGGCAGGGAGGTTAAGGCCTGAACCTGGGTGGTGGCCATGCGGGTGGAAGACAGACATGGACTCCGAGAACTTCAGGATGTAGCAGGGATGGGACTCGGTGACCACCTGGCCGTGGGGAGCCTGGGAGTGAGCAGGGTCATGGTCAAGGTGGGGCTATCAGCCTGAGTGCATCAGGAAGAGTCTGCACAGAAGGATAGCATTTTCCTACATCCTCTAGAGGGACAGCTGGTGTATCGCACCTGACCCTGGCCTGGGGGCCCTGCTTTTGGTCAGCTCTGCAGCTAGTCAGATGTCTCAGAAAGCAGAGCACCCACACTGGCTGCAGAGACACCATGGGCAGAAGGGTGGGTGCCAGGAGAGAAGCATCCCCCTCCCAGGAAGGACCCCCGTCCCCAGCCTTTCTGGCCAGGATCCACGAGTTCATGGGTTCCATCTGTCGAGTCTCATGTCCAGAGCCTCTTAACTCAGAGAAGAAGGTGGGGGTGGGACCAAAGTCTCTGCCTATGTTAGGATCCCATGAAGGCGCATTGGGTGACAAGGGGGCAAGGAAAGGAAGGGGATCCAAGGGCACTCAGCTGTGTGTGCTCTCGAGGCCCAGCACAAACCCTGGCCCTCAGGAGACCTCTGTCGGCAAATGCCAAATAAATGACAGGATCCCAGCGTGTCCTGAGTGACCACTACCTGCCAAGCCCTCTGCTGATGACCTGGAGCAATCTGGGGGGTGGAGCAATCTGGAGGAGGGGAGCTGGGAAGCGACAACAGGCTGCTTTCAGGGCAAGTGCGTCTTTGTGTCCCACCATTAATGTGTGTCCTGGAGCCTCCCCTCACTTCTTTGTCCATCATCTTTTCTCAGGGACAGTTGGGAAAGACCCGGAAGCCCCTCAACGCAGTCATCGCTTCTCCTCTCCCACCTCCAGGGCTATTCAAAGCCTGGCCCCTGATGTATTCCCCGTGGGGTTTTGATTAGGAGGGAGAAAAAATAGTCATGTATTTGGAAAACTCTCCTTTGAGTAGAAGAAGAAGGGAAGAAGGGAAAAAAAATCATCTGTATCAAAGCACTTTTCAGAATGCAGGTCCCAATATTCTGGAAAGTTCAGGATTCACTTGCTATTTAAATCTCTTGAAAGCCGCCTAGTTAATTACTTCACTTAGAAGGTTCCGTCTAAATTGTGCTCCACGCCCAAGGTCAGGGAGGAAGAGTGATCTATTTTGGCAAAGAGCTTCAAAAAGTGTTGATTTTCCTCCTGCTGCACAGCACCGCCCGCCGGCTTGTGTTTGTATACGGCGCATATTTGCACTCTCACTTGCAGTGAAAGCGCTGCAGCCTCACGCTGCAGTCCCCACGGCCAGGTAGTTGTGAGAGGCTGGGACGGAGGACGGGTGAGTCTCCAGAGAGGAAAAGTGTCCAGCGCGGTCACGTGGAGCTGGGAGCAGGATCCACCTGAGTGCAGGGGTTTCTACCCCCAGCCCTTCTGACCCGGGGACCCCAGGGTGTCATCTGGTTCTTAAATTTTAGCAGCATGGGAACCACCTGGAGAGCTGATCTGGGCCGAACCCAGATTTCTGGGCCCTACCCCTGAAGCGACAGAGTCAGTAGGTCCTGGGAAGGGGCCTGAGAATGTGCTGGGGACTCTAGCAAGACCCCAGGCGCTGCTTGCTGGTCCGGGGAGCACAGTGATGACCACTGCTGAGCTGTTACTAGGTCATCAGTGGGGTCTGTGATGCTGGGGGCCTGAGCAGCCCTAGACGGTGTCAGGAACCACGTGCTTTTCTCCACCCTCCCAGGGTCAGAGCTGATGCCCAAAGCCCTGTCCACGCGCATCATTGGTGGCATCTGGTGGTTCTTCACGCTCATCATCATCTCCTCCTACACGGCCAACCTGGCTGCCTTTCTGACAGTGGAACGCATGGAGTCGCCCATCGACTCTGCTGATGACCTGGCCAAGCAAACCAAAATCGAGTATGGGGCCGTCAAGGATGGGGCCACCATGACTTTCTTCAAGGTGAGACCCTCTCCCTCCCTTGCAGCACCACAAGTGGACCCTCCCACGCCCGTCACTGTCCTTCCCAAACCGCGCAGGAATCCTCAGGGCTCGGGCCCTTCCCTGTTGGAGACCAGTTGGCTTTGGGGAAGCTGTGATGATGGTGCGGCCACCAGAGTGGGTCCCAGCACAGATCCTACACATTTTCATACCTGGGACCATGCATGGGGTCAATGTGCTGGTTTTTTCTCTAAATCATCGGAGGAGGACAGGTGGAAGGATGAGGCTGGGAAAGGGGGAAGGAGAAGCGTGGTCCAGACACACAGACATGTACGGGGGCCAGTGGGCTCCCTCACCTTTGGCTTAAGGTTTTGGCGACATCCGCGTCCTAAGAGGCTGGCCTGCACTTGGCGGCAAGCTCTCCACCCCTGAGGGGGCAGCAGCAAAAAATAAACATTTCTTCGCATGTTATACTCTTGGACGGCTGGTGTCCGGCTAAAGCCCCTGTCCCTGCTAGGGCTCCTGTTCTGATGGGGTCTGGCCCCGGCTTTACTGCTCCTCCTGCTTTGGGGGTATTGGCCCAGTTCCCCCAAGGATTTTCACCTACTAGAGTAGCTAGGGTTTAGGAGACTGACGGGCTAAATGTTCTTACAGGAATTAAGGTAAAAATCACAAGAGCTACCACCCCCAGACAAGGCAGCGCAGCCTCACTGACCCTTTACGACAACTCCTGTGAGGTAGACACCACGATTATTTCCACGGTACACGTGTGGAAACTGAGGCTCAGAGTGACGAAGCAGGTTGTCCAAGAACTCAACAGCTGAAGGACCCAGGTCTGCCTTCCTGCAAAAGCTCATGCTCTAGGCCACGGTGGTTCTGAGACGTGAGCGTGATCCCAATCATCTGGGAGGCTTGGGAAAACCCAGGTTCCCGGGCCCCGCCTTCCAGGTTTCCGGTGTAGGAAGTCTGGGGCAGGGCCAAGAATGCACGTTTTTATGAGTTCCCGGATGCCTCTGTTCTCATGGTTTCTCTGAAGTGGTCAGGCTTCGGGAGCTCCGGGGGCTGTAGGTCCGTTCATCCGTTTATTCATTCGTCACTTGGAAGCTTGGGCCCTGTTCCCTATCCTCCAGCTCTGGTTTCCTTCCAGGCTAAGCCTTGGAGGACTGGACTGAGCCTCCAGTGGGGCCTGAGTGAGGAGAGGGCAGGAGGGAGAGGACTGGGAGGGAAAGCCTCTCCCCCCATGCCCTGCAGCCCCACCAGCACTCTCCCCTACTCTGGCCTCCCCTGTGACCCTCCTTGAGGATGGAAGCAGGTGTTCAGTAGAGGAAAGACAGAAGGAAAGGGCTCCCCTCGTGTGACACTGCTGCTGCCACTGAGAAGTGGCAAGTGTGGCCTTCCTGAGGGGTCACTATACATGCATTTGGGCGCATAAAAGCATCGTCACAGGCATAGTAGGAGCTCTCTGGGACCCTACGTGTTTGTGAGCGGTATGGGAGCATGTGTGCACCTGTGTGCATGCGTGATCCATATAAACCTGTATTTAAGGGTGTATGTGTACACACAGGTGCCGGTGTGCAAAGTCTGCCTGTGTGGGTGTATGTGTATCTTTGTGTTTGGACGTGAGTATTTGCAAAAATCTGTATGTGTATTGGCAAGCATACGTGTGCGTGTGTCTCTGTGATCTGGGTGCTTGGACATGTGCCTATGAGTGTGGCTGTGCCAGAATGTCTAGATGTATACGTGCATGGAGGTTACATGTGTGTCTGTCTGCCTGGATGTCCCCAGGGGTACATGTGGACAGAGGTGAGCACGGGGGATGGCATCTGTGTGTGTCCCAGCCCAGGCATGCACATGTGTAATGGCTCGTATGTGTGTGTGATGGCCCCTGCATGCACACCTGTCTGCGTGGGTGTCAGCCTGTGTATGTAACGGACCGTGCATGTGTATGTGTGACGGCTCCCACATGCATGCATGTCTGTGTGTGTCAGCCTGTGTATGTAATGGCCCATGCCTGTGTGTGGGTGATGGCTCCCGCATGCACGCGTGTCTGTGTGGGTGTCAGCCTGTGAATGTACCAGGCCGTGCATGTGTGTGGGCGACGGCCCGTGCATGCACCTGTGTCTGCGTGGGTGTCAGCCTGTGTATGTAATGGACCGTGCATGTGTATGTGTGACGGCTCCCACATGCATGCATGTCTGTGTGTGTCAGTCTATGTATGTAACGGGCCATGCATGTGTGTGGGCGACGGCTCCTGCATGCACGTGTGTCTGCGTGGGTGTCAGCCTGTGTGTGTAACAGGCGTGCCTGTGTGTGCGTGACGGCCCCTGCATGCACGCGTGTCTGCATGGGTGTCAGCCTGTGTATGTAATGGACCGTGCATGTGTATGTGTGACGGCTCCCACATGCATGCATGTCTGTGTGTGTCAGTCTATGTATGTAACGGGCCATGCATGTGTGTGGGCGACGGCTCCTGCATGCACGTGTGTCTGCGTGGGTGTCAGCCTGTGTGTGTAACAGGCGTGCCTGTGTGTGCGTGACGGCCCCTGCATGCACACCTGTCTGCGTGGGTGTCAGCCTGTGTATGTAATGGACCGTGCATGTGTATGTGTGACGGCTCCCACATGCATGCATGTCTGTGTGTGTCAGTCTATGTATGTAACGGGCCATGCATGTGTGTGGGCGACGGCTCCTGCATGCACGTGTGTCTGCGTGGGTGTCAGCCTGTGTGTGTAACAGGCGTGCCTGTGTGTGCGTGACGGCCCCTGCATGCACGCGTGTCTGCATGGGTGTCAGCCTGTGTATGTAACGGGCCGTGCCTGTGTGTGTGCGACAGCCCCTGCATGCACTGTCTGCATGTGCGTGTCATGGTTCCTGCCCGCGTGTGTGTGCTGGTGCGAGTGTGCCTGCTGGTGTCCCCAGGCTGCGGCCCAGCCCTCTGACTGTGCCCGAGCATCTCTCATGCATTACACATGAGCCCGTCTCTAAGCAGGGCTCCCGATCAAAGGGAAGCGGCATAAATAAGCCTGGTGCAGGCTCATCGCCGCAGATTGGATGCCCTGGCCTCCCCCCTCCCTCCACGCTAAGATGCTCACATTGGCTTCCAAGAGCCCAGGGCCAGCTCCCCACCGGGCCGCCGTCCTCCGCGGCACCCCCAACGGCCCGCCCTGCCCTCGTGCATGGGGGACACATACGCTGTCACCCAGCTGGGCCTGGGTCACCGGGGCCCATGCTCACGAGGGCTCCTGGCCAGGAACAGCAGCTCCCGATCACCAGTTAACTGCCCTGGACGTCTGGCCACCTTGTCTCTTGCTTTAATTCCTGGGAGGCTCTTCTAGCCCAGGGTCCCTTTCCCTGACAGCAGCAATAGGGCCGCTTTGCAGGCAGAGAGGAGCCCGAATATGGGGCTATTAACCCCACCCCAGATGATGAGCTAGAAGCACAACCCGTCCCCACCCCCAAGTTCCCTGGACGCACCTCCGTCCTCCTCACCCTACCAGCCGGGCTTTCCAGTCACACCTCCTGCCTCCCAGCCCCCTGGGCAAGGTGGTAGCCTCCTCAGTATCACTTTTTTTTTAATTTAAATTCAAATAATTAACATATAATATTACTGGTTTCGGAGGTAGAGGTCAGTGATCCATCAGGCTTGTATAGCACCCAGGGCTCATCCCATCACGGGCCCTCCTTAATGCCCGTCCCCTGGGTACCCCATCCCCACCCCCCCTCCAGCGACCCTCAGTTTGTTTCCCGTGATGAAGAGTCTCTAATGGTTGGTCTCCCTCTCTGCTTCTGTCTTATTTTTCTCTCTCTCACCCCACGATCCTCTGTTTTGTGTCTTAAATTCCACATATAACTGTCTTTCTCTGATTGACCTCTTTCCCTTAGCGTACATGACACCCTCTAGTTCCAGCCACGTCATTGCAAAGGGCAAGATTTCACTTTTTTTTATTTTTTATTTTTTATTTTTTTATGGCTGACTGGTAGTCCATTGTATATATAGAGAGAGACCACATCTTTATCCGTTCATCTGTCGATGGACTCACCACTTTCAGTTTTTACAGCTGGAAGGAAACCCGAGTTTCACCCGGAGAAACAGAGGGGGTGGGTGGTTTTGCCCGTGATCACACAGCAGGTCAGTGGAGGAAGCACAACGTCAGGTCAGATAATTCTGTGTGCACACGCAGCACGCTCCCCCACGCGCACTCTAGGCTCTTCTGGAGGGCTAGGCCTCTCCCCTGCCCACGAGTGGGTGCGGCACTGGGGTTGAGCAGGGATCAGCTTCAGGGGCCAGCCACGGGACATCCAGGACACACTGGCAAGGTCAGTGGTAAGAGTAGCATCTGTTGAGCACTTAGTAGGTGCCGGCCACATTGGGGCACTTGAGCCAATGTCACGCGTGTCACCCTCGCGGCAAGCCCGGACCGTGGAAACCATTATCATTCGTCTCCGTTCAACACCTGAGGAAGGTAGGCTCCGTGGCAACCTGAGTTCCCACGGACTTGCTTTACCATCAACAGCTCGTGAAAAGCAGAGCTGGGATTTGAACCCTAGTGGTCCGGCGCCGGGGCCCGCGTGCTGTGTCACCGTGTGCCTGTGGCTTCTCTGACTCGGTGGGGCAGGAGCCAAGCCACAGCCGGGTGCGCTTAGCCCCAGCCTAACAGTCCTGCCACAGCCATCCTAGTTGCTCCAGGGGCACAAGGACAGCAGAAGCCAAGTGGCCCAGAGGAGGAGACGTGTTAAGGACAGGAACCAAAGAGAACCCACTCCTCTTGGGCTCTCGGTCGGGAGGGTGGTGGTGGCACCAGAGCCCTGGCGCGCACCCTGCAGCCCGGGAGACGCGCAGCTCCAGGCGCCCCGGCGTTCCAGAGGAAATTTCATTTGAAGAGTTGTCGGGGAGCAGCAAACATCACAAACAGCGTCTCCCGTGCTGTCCTCCCTCCGTCTGGGAAGATAAAAATTAATTAGGAGATGAAAAAGGAAGTCTTTGAAAGCACTGTTTGGCTGTAAAAATATGTAGGCAAAAT